CGGTCTAACGAAATAATTTCCATTCACCTTTAGGTATTCATAATGTTTTATGTTATCATCTACCTGAATAAATAATAAAGCTAACCTAACTCCAAACCCGATTTAACCAGGTGTTTCCTCAAATTAGACAATGAAGTGGTTATTTTGTTCCCATTCTGAATTTGGTAAAATTCCCTTCAAGCACACACTCCTAGACATGTGGCCGTCCTAGTCAAAACCCTAGTTTTAATTTGACAAGCCTGCCCACATTGCTGTGGTGCGATCTTGTACACGTTCCAAATTCAGACGCATCAAGTCGCACTTGATTAGCCCATTTAAGTCGTCAGGAATGCCATGATGTTCTACGTCACATGAGCCTAATTCGTACTGAGGCGTTCCATTCCGTCGAGTCACTTGCGATTGGCCCATTTGAGCGGTAGCAAATGCTGTGACGTTCTATGTCACGTGAGCCAAGGTGTTACATGTCTGTTTTCGTTTGTTTTTCGGATGGAGGCAAAGGAACGGCTAGACAGACCGTCCAAAACGAAACGGATGGATTGAAGTGGCTGGGAGGCGGCATAGATTGGATTGAAATGTAAGTGCTTCGCACCTATATAGTATCGGGGCATTTTGAGAACACGGCGTCGCAACAGACCTCATTAACTTACTTTGAGGCTCCGAGTGCGTGTACCTGTTCAGACCGCCCGCCTTTTATGAATCGCTGCGCAGCAAAGCAGGCGGGCATCTCGCGCTTTTGCGTACGTGTCGCTATGATGTGTCAGTGCTTCCGCCAAACGCACAACTGCGCCACCACCCCGCCTCCGCTGCGCACCGTTCTTATTGGCTGTGGCAAAGCGCTGAGCCTCGGCAGGCAGCAAAAAATTCCTCCGAGAGCGATTGCCTTTGCCCCCTGGTTTTCCTCCTACTTTGCTTGGAATCCCCGCGATTCGTGGCGTCGCGAATTGTTTTCCTTCGATCGACCTTTTGCAGAACAGTGATTCCGAAATGGACGCCATTCCAGGCAGCGCTGCAGAGGTGCCTGAGGATTCACACTTCAGCCATGTTCGCTCGTGTGTCTCGGTTAGCTATATTGGTGTGTTTTGGCGTGCAAAGCATTCAGGTATACGCAGAGGGATCAATCCAATATAGATATCGCGAATGAGCATCAGCGCAGACATAGAATACGTTTCCTGCTTGTCAGGTTCTTTCTTGCGCCTCCAGATGGCCCCACCTATCCAGCCTCTCGCGGTTGACACGGTATTACCACTTTTACGTGGACGCAAAGTCTACAGATAAACTAAAATTTTACGATACCTGCAAGTTACTTGTTAGCGATGACACCTGACTACACGCTCTTCCACTTTTGATAGCTTGTGGTCGTGTTGATGTGTAACACATACGTGATATGAAAAGACACCCTCATTGCGCTTTTTCCGTGCTTCGAACTAGACGACTGCAACTCACCTGCAACTCACAACGATTCCCCAACATGCTGACCAACAAGCACACCTTTAATCATGCTCTTTTCTTTCGCCATTCCTTCAAAGGTGGTTTTTATTTTGACAGTTTATGAAAATCAAGCAAACCGGTGCAATAAATATCAGAAGCGACGAGCGACGGCCGGGCTGGACTGCACCTGCGCGCACTAGCCCGGCCGTGGACGAGCGAGTGCGTTTCTGCACTTCGGTGCCAGTCGGCGCAACGACAAGAACACTCGGATCGTACATGTCATCGCTACTAGGGCATCGTCATTCAGGATAGTATTTGTGGAATGTATCACACCGAACACGTAGCACTAGTGTCGATTTCGCAGGGCAGTCTATTTTATGTTTTTTCTCCTTAGCTTTTCTACGCTGTTTGACATCACATTAAAATAGCTTCGACGCAACGGATGCCATTCAAGTTTGGCCAAAAAGACCTATGCATATCAAGCGATCGAATGATGGGCACATCTCGATCTTGAAATTTGATGTCAGTGCTCCTTCAACTATAATACAATACCTTAGAGATGTGCCTTTTCCACGGCCACAACTACCCTAAAGTAGTTGCTGGCCTTCCACGTGCTAAAATCATGCTGTTTCACTTGTAAAATTAGCATATTTATTATGGCTATCACAATGAGTCAACAGAAGAGAGCTATGTTTCATTTCAGGCCTTATGGTTATATTATCTTATGGTTGACATTAATTTCTTAAGTTTTATGAGCCAAAAAATATGATGTGAATAGGAGACATGCTGTAGATGTGGGGGGGGGGGGGGGGGGGGAGTTCTGCAGATTAATTTTAACCAACTGTGGTTGCACCTATATCTAAACATGTGGCCTCCAGCCACCACAGCTGGGAATCAAAACCACATTCTTGAGCTAGGCAGCACGATTACCTCAAACTGTAAGCTGTCAACTGTACTCTGTGAGAGTGCTGCTTGTAATCATACAACCCCTATGCAGCCATTCCACGAACTCTGAAAGATATTTTGGTAAACAGAACACACTTGAATAAAGCTTCTAGCCCACAAAACATGACATATGTCTTGTTTGTTTAGTTGCACATCCTGCTGCCTATTTGGGGCTACTACAGGGGTGGAATTGATTGCACATGAACAGTAAAGTAAGACAAAGCCTAGGCAAGCAAATCAGTGCATGTGTAGAAACCAAATAAATTTTTAAACATGGTGGAGATCAAATAAATTTTTAAACAAGGTGGCTGCCTTTTTCAAGTGGTCACAAGAAGTGTAAGGTGGTATATGGGGAGTAGTACCGCTTTAAACAACCACAGCTGTATTTGCTTTGAAAGCGAATTAGAGTGAATGTTAGTAGATGTTACACCTGGTTCTTGGAAGACCATTCACTGCCTAACACTGGGCAGGAAGAACAAATGACGTAGCTGTGGCTGATTATACAGATGCTGCCAAAGGGGAGCTAGATTGAGTCAGACTGTGGAATGAGCAAGGTCCTAGTGGTAGCATCGAAACATGCTCATTATTTTGTATTAGCTTACAAGGTTGCCAAACAGCACAAGGGCACTGGCCTCTTACCAGGCACTTACGATACAATAAAAGCTCAGTATATTTTTAGTTTTCAATGAAATATTCTCTGTAAATAACAAAGCAAAGTGATGAATAGTTCCAAAGTTTGGCATTCGAGTGTTTTTATGGACCCTTCTCTTGTGCAGCAGAAGCTTTTGTCATGTTTCAACTTTAATGTTCCCAAACCTCAGAGAAAGCAAAGGCCTCAGTTAAGGTGCAGGTAATAAAGCTCGTATTAAAGACATTTTTCACTAGAGAATGCGATTTTTTTAACAGCAAAATTAGAATGTCAACTTTAATATGCCAATAATCCGATAAGGAACACTTTAGAGAAGTTGCTTAGCGGCCAATTTTGCAGCCTAGCGACTTTCCTCAGCGAAAGAAATAAAAATGGCCATTTAAAGAATGGTCAAGTACAAACCCATGTGATGCTTATCTCTGCGATGAATGACTCAATGAGCTGAAACAACAGTGGCCAAATATTCCCATGTTTCCCGTTTAAATAAATATATGGTGACTTTCAATGCAGGCAAAGCAGCACAATGTACGACAGAAAAACTACCACTGTGTGTGGGCATGAATAACGCGACGAAACAAATTGTTTTGTTTCAAAATAAATATATACAGCCTTACAACAGGCAAACGATGTTATGCAAAGTGCAACAACACGGCGAACTTCAGTGACAGCTAGCACGTAAACCAAACTACCGTCCACTAGTGTATGCTTTAACACAAAAATCGCCGTGAGTAGCGCAACAGGGCACACAGGAGAGAGCACAGGCACATTTTCCATTTAGCGAGTCCCGTTCAGTTGCGCGGCGGTTTCTGTGTCAAAACGAGTGCATGCTGTTGACGTGCATCGATTAGCCGTTTTTTTTGTTCTTTTTTTATACTCTGCAAGAGTGACCATTGCATTACTGATACCCTGAAAAATATCGCGCCTCAACATTACAGCACTGGCAGGTTGCGTGACTTCCAATTAACACCTCAGTGGAGCTACGCTACCGTAAGTGTACGAAAACACCAGAACGTACGACGAGAGTAAAGGAATGCATTGTGCGCTACTTCACGGACAGCTGACGGGCGACAACACAGTGGCAAGTGGAACGCAAGCCGAAAATTGCGGATCACGCGGGCCGGACAGAAAGTCTCGACCGCGAGCAAACTAAACCACCTCGACATCAGACCCGCGAAACGCCATTACGTCATCGGGACCGTGTTCGCCTGCTGCGAAGGCAGACCGCGAAACCAATCGGCCGTACTTCTTTTTCCTCGACATCGACGGGCGCCGTGCAAGCGCCCCCGACGACGCAGGAGTTCACGGTCGAGCAACGGTGCTTTCGTCGGGTCGCATCGAGGCCAACAACAGGGAGAGGAACAAAGGAGCCGCTACCACAGTCGCCGCCGCCTCGGTTCGTACGGCTTCCCAAGCTCGCTTCACCAACACTGACGAGAAACCGACTCACAACCGAATTAAACAAAAACCAAGCTCCGCGATGTCATTGTTTTGTTCGGCGGCGGCCCGTCGGTAGGAGAAGCGCACGGAGCAATGAACTACTACTGACGGGGTACTAGCCCGGCTGACGCCGGGAGAGCCGGGCTCCTAGGCCTACTAAGGGTCTCCAGTGAACAACCGACGTGCACCATGCTCGCTTACCATTAACGGGAACAAACTAGAGCGGTTGTGGTTCCTGCTGGAACCGACATGGGGTAGAAATTGCCGACTAATATTCCCAAGCACACTTACACAACACGCACGACGCACACGCACAACACGCAGTCGGCCGAAAACACACGGCTACGAAACCATAGACGAAACTGCCGATTCCTCACTTCCAGCACCTTAATCAACATTTTTGCTATTTGTGGCAGTCAAGTATTTTAGCGTCACATTTTTTTTTTTTTTTGAAATGCGGCGCCGTGGTCGAGTAAAACTTATATTCACACTTTGATAAAAAACATTTGAAATATTTTGCTTACTGTAAAAACCGAAACTATAACTAACTGAGGGCGGCCATCCGCAGTGCTTCACTTGTCAGCTCTACCGCTGTCCTCGGGAACCTCTTCTTTCGCGTCGACGATGAGCTCGTAAACCGCAAGGACGCAGTCTTCAGGAAAGGCCGAATCGGCGCAATTGTAGCGTTCAGCAGAGACGAAGTTTGGGGAACAAACGCCGCTCAATCACTCGCAGCTCTGTTGATGTGGCCGGCGCTGGACATCTCGGCAATGTGCCGCTCGCCCACTACTCTTTCACTCGGTGAGTGTTTTTCGACATCGCGCCCCACCCCCCTGCAACCCTTCTGACGAACTTTTACGCACGCTTCGTTTTCTTTTGCGTCGAGAGTTTAAACTGCATGTGTGCTCTGGCTGTTTCTCGCAGCGCTTTACCACGCGATGTTGTAATCTCATGCTACTACCTCAATTCATTTTGATATGACATAGATCACAGATCGGCTTTCCAAGCTCTCTACTCGTCCTCTTGATAGGAAACAACACTCGTTCATTACGATATTTTTAGGCTAATAATAGCGATACTTGTGCGAAGCCGCATAATAGCCTATATGATACAAGCTAGTTTCTTTTCCTCGGTAGATTCTGGCACGGGTGATTTGCATTCTAGAAGAGGGGGTCCCGTACGTGTCTGCAAAACATGCTCCTTTTTTTTCGATCGCTGCGTAAAACTGGCTCGGCGCTTGTTAAGAACGCACTATATTTACACGCGCTTTTATGCGTAAGCTGAAAGTAGCGACGTTAGTTATTAATGATGGCCAAGATAAAAAAAACGTGATTAGATTAATTCTGGGAGGAACTACTGGTAAGCCTCGAAGTATTGCTTTCCTGTCCATGAGATGATCTGCAGAGGTTTCATTTTTGCTGAACTTTTGGCTAACTAGGTGCTTATTGAACTTGACGTATGTATATATATATATATATATATATATATATATATATATATATATATATATATATATATATATATATATATATGAGATCTAACAAACAATAACGCCAAGGAAGGTATAGCGGAAGTTATTAGTCCAATTGTAATGTAAATGAAAAAGAAAAGTGGGTGAAAAGATAACTTGCCGTGGGCAGGATCCGAAGGTCGCAGGTTCGGATCCTGCCCACGGCAAGCTATCTTTTCACCCACTTTTCTTTCTCATTTAGATTACAATTGGACTAATAACTTCCCCTATACCTTCCTTAGCATATTGTCTGTTAGATCTCAATAATATTGTGTAAAACACAAAAAACGGGCCCTGTTTCTCTTATTCATTAACGAGGGTCTCGTACTGGCAGACTTGGTGCCTTTAGGTTGTATACGAGGGACTATTGGTCAGCTGCCAGTTGCTAATAAGTTCACGTGCTACGTGACACCAAACAGGCTCATAAAGTGCGTGCCACACTCGCCGCCTTGGCTCTATAGTGGCGCTGACTGACACTTCCACGTTTAAATTGACATAGATACTCAATAAAGTGGCTGGGGGGATAGCTGTCGTGGTAGCTCAGTGGTAGAGCATCGAACGCGTTATTCAAAGGTCGCAGGTTCGGATCCTGCCCACGGCAAGTTATCTTTTCACCCACTTTTCTTTCTCATTTACATTACAATTGGACTAGTAACTTCCCCTATACCTTCCTTGGCATTAATTTCTGTTAGATCTCATTAATATTGTGTAAAACACGAAAAACGAGCCCTTAAGTACATACCTGTTTCTCTTCTATATATATATATATATATATAGGGAAGCATATACTTAAGGGCTAGTTTTTCCGTATTTCGACACAATGAATGAAATCTAACAGACAATGATGCCAAAAAAAGTATAGGGAAGATTATTAGACCGAATTGTAAGGTAATTGTGAGGAAATACAAGTGGGTGAAAAGATAACTTGCCGTGGGCAGGAACCGGACCTGCGACCTTCGAATAACGCGTTCGATGCTATACCAATGAGCTACCATGGCGGATATCGTATATGTATGTTTGTATATATATATGTGTGTATATATATATATATATATATATATATATATATATATATATATATATATATATATAGATAGATAGATAGATAGATAGATAGTATATAGACAGACAGACACACACCTCCTAAATAATCTTCAGTGGGAAAAGAAAAATGGTTTTCGATTCAATTTAAAGTCACATTTTTATGCATTCTTTTATTTGCGGAGTATAGCAAATTGTCCTTTCAGTGCATGCCTCTTGTAGAAAGGCAGACAACAAAGGTACATACATGCTAACGGTAATTGTACATTCATGTTTGGATTCACAACGCTTGCACCAAAATGGGCGGCTGTATGGTTGGGCTCCCAGAAGTACATCTTGGAGATAGTCTGTACGAGGGTGTGGTCTTCAATCTGGCTCGTGTACTGCTTGGGTCTTAACCGCTGCGAGATATTTGCAGTAAGTTTGCAGGGCCACAGAAGTACAAAAAGGTCTATCATATTCATCGATGCCTCACAAACTCTAGTTGACCCCACAGGAATAAAGTGACAACCTTGGTGAGCAGTATTCAGTTGCTGTTTTGCATATATGGCTGCACCTTTCTGCAAAAGTTTGTAAACCCAATAATGCTTCTCGACTCCTACAGTCTTAAGCAAGGCAGTCAATGTCTGTGTGGTGTGCGATTCCAGGTAGGCGCGAAAACACACAAAAAGAAAGGATGGGTGGTGACACCATCTTTGAAGTACGTGTAGCAGTCCCTGGCTCTTATATTTTGACGGCATCTCCTAAAGCCTGCATAGTTTCTAGTTGGCAAAACTGAAGTGCATTGAAGTGCTTCTGAGAGAGCCAGCGACTTAACATGCCAAGTTTCAGAAAATGTCATTGAGTTAGTGTGGCTGAAATACAAAAAAGCACCTTGAAATCTGTGATGTTCAGCATCGGCGCTGACCGGGATAAAAAAAGTGATCGATAACAGTGGTATAACACGAAGCGAACTCACTGTACTGAGGCGACGTTTCATTCCAAGAAAAGCACAGTTTAGAGCAATTGTGCTAAATATATTATAGAGCATACTACTTGTTTCTTTCATAACTGCAATAAAGTTGTGCTTCTCTTGCATGCATATTGATTGGAGATCACGTAAGTCCTTTTTTGTGCTTTGTCACACCTACTGGTCTTTGATGCAATTCACTAGGTCAATGGTGTGCGCCTGTTTTGGCATTTTACAGCTATGCAACTATTTTCACACTTATTCAGATGAAACTACCATTGCACATGCGATTATACTTTATTTATGCAGATCTATGCAACACAATATTTTTCTAAGTGAACAATCTGTCTTGTATTAGAAATTGTATAAGAAGAGTCACAATAGAGCATCTATCATTTCCTTTGCACCAACAGCAAGCTGGGAGAGAATCGGGTAGCTTGTACGTGTGGCTCACATGGTGTTGGATATCACCTAAAGTTAGGGGACATTCTTGTGGCTTCAGAAGGACCATCACTTTTCTTCCAAGAATCATTTATTGAAAGAAAGCATGTTTTTAAGAATGAAAGTTTTGGTATTACATTTTCTTCTATTTGAAAAGATTTGATTACTAAATTCATTATAAAAATAAAAGGGAAGTGTTCTTGTTAAAATTTGCAAAAAAAAAAACTGCACTGGCTGCCTCTTTTTTTTCTCAAAGCTGGTTTGTAGTAGATGAAAACTGTAAATGGCTTGGTGCAACTCTGTGTTCAATAATTTGGTGATTGTTGTAAAGTTCTAATACAATTACAAGCAAAGTTATTCATGTACACTACATTTATGGAGCGGAATGAATATGTGAAGTGTTTTTTTTTTTCCATCACAAAGAAAGAATCATTTCATTCTTAAATTATGTGCATAGTATAATTAATTGTTTTTTGCTGAGGTTTTATTGCCGGTAAAGATTATGGCTGTTAACGCTTGTGTTGATTTTGTTTATGTTGTTACATGCACTCTTGTATGTATACCAGCGTGTCCAAGGTTATGTAGTGACTCAACTAACACAGTCTGGCCATGTGGGCTCACTTGCTCAGGCAAGTGAGCACGTACGGCTAGACCAAGCACATGACACACTACTGTAGCCACGTGCTTGTCTTGCATATACATTGCACTACTCTTGACAATGCAACAAGCACTGTAGCTCACTGTGTGTACGTGACCGTGCAAAGGTGGCTCCTTGCCACCGCCAGCGCACTGGTTAGCCGACAACACTGCAGGAGCCGAGACTGGCCCTTAGTGGTACTGCACGCAACTTGGCAAACAAGGTGAGCTTGCATACATTATTTAACCCTTTGTCTCTTGCTGAGAATTGTTTTCAATGTAGTGCATCAGTAAGCACACACAAGCCCAATAATATTTTCTCATTTGACTACTGACCTCCCCACGCTATCACAGTTGAACCCCTTTATAAGGACACTGATGTAGCAGTCAAATGGGTATAAAGGACAGCAGTATGTGTACATTGAAATAGGTGGTAATAAGAAAGCATAGACGTGCAACCTTGCTTATAAGAGACACAGTCACACCTCATACACAAGACAAGAATTACTCCTTGATGCATGCTTCAGAGAAGTAGGTTGTTTGTCCCCCTTTTCATATCAATACATCAGAAATACGGAATAAAAATCATAGATGAAGTCTACCACCAGACATGTTTTAGAAGTAAAAAAATAATAATGGGTAATTGAAATGCACAGAGCGCCAAGATTGAGTAGCATTGATTAGCTTTCCACTAGGCTTATGTAGCATTGTTCAGGTATATTACACACTTTGCACCGTAATATTCATTAACTGCACCTATTTATCTGAGCATGGGCCAGGTTAACAAAATGTTTCGTTGCCTGTTCCTTGAATGAGTTACTTTTATTACATAAAAAGGTTTTGTATGCCTTTGAGATGGTGCATCACCTAAATTCGAGAAAAATGTAACAATATGATAATAATCCACTTATGTAACTGAATGGGCCAAATGAAATTGATGATTGATTTCACCCCTGCTGTATTGCTATTGCTGGCAGTTGACATATTGTGGCAGTTTTGTTGTGTACCTGATATTGAATGATTAGCTTGCAAAACTGAAAGCACGGGCACTTATCTGGCGTGTTTAGGTGGTGTCAGGGCATCTTGTAGCATGTTGCAGCAAAGTGGCATGGCAACCCTGAGGGAAAGCCCCGCCGCGCTGTTCTAGTGGCTAAGGTACTCGGCTGCTGACCCGGAGGTCGCGGGATCGAATCCAGGCTGCGACGGCTGAATTTCCGATGAGGGCGGAAATGCTATAGGCCCGTGTGCTCTGATTTGGGTGCACGTTAAAGAACCCCAGGTAGTCGAAATTTCCGGAGCCCTCCACTACGGCGTCTCTCATAGTCATATGGTGGTTTTGGGACGTTAAACCCTACATATCATCTGAAAGAAGGGTGCAGGTGAAGCAGCGCTGGCGAACGAGACACGACGATTGTTTGAAAATCAGCCACAAACTGATTATATTTCTCTTTTTTTTTGTTTCATCTTGCCAAGACACTGATTGCGCATCGACGAAAAAGTAAAAGCAAGGAATTGCGAGTGGTTGAACTTTCCTGAGCCCTCTACTACAGCGTCTCTCATAGTCATATGGTGGTTTTGGGATGTTAAACCCCACATATCAATCAATCATCAACCCTGAGGAAAAATTTTTAATTGTTTGACACATCTACAACATTCCTGCAAGACTATATAATGCCACAATTCTGTACTCTTTCAGCAAATAAAATCAGTTTCAAAACTGCAATAAGCAAATTAGGTTTCTTTTTATGTTCTATTAAGATTGTACTAGTTTTAGATAAAATTTATAATGTTTTTGAGCCCTTGCCACACATTGGTGTAAAATGTTATTGTGACCTACACCTGTTTCTTCGCATGCTACAATTTAGGAGTGCTGATTCTAGATTGTTGTTTCACATGCAATGATTTTAATGGCAGTGTTTCTTATCATTTATGAGTCACTTGTGTAATATGGAATTATCTTTTCATCCAATCAACTTTAATCAAAGAAAAAAAAAACTGGAAAACTGACTTTGAAGCATGTCCACCCCAGTGGAGTAGCGGTTCTAGTTCTCGCTGCTGACCAGAAGGGCGCGGGTATGATCCAGGCCATGGCGGTCGCGTTTTGATGGAGTCGAAATGGCAAAGGCTCATGTATTGCCCTATGTCGTTGCATGTCAAAGAACACCTCATGGTCGAAATTTCAGGTGTCTGCATCTATTATAATCATATGATAGTTTTGAGACATAAAACACCAGATATTATTGGTAATATTATTGTCAAACATCTTCATGCTTGAATTTAGTGCTTCATGGAAGTAATAAAATGAGCAATTGGCCAAAAACAACCTGTTTGGCAATCTGAACTGTTATTTGCTCAACAACCATGACTCATGTTAGACAAGTTCAAGACCTCCTAGAATAAATAAATTGCACACCCAAATAAGTGTCTCTCAGGGGCAACAATCATTGGCAAAAGTATGTGTAATAAGTGGTAAAAGTGGTATAATGTGCTTTTGTTTCAAGGACTACATGATGGCATTGCCTCTTGTCTTCAAGCAAGAGTTTGTGGACGTGACGAAGCTTCCCTATCCAATCCCTACATCACCAACGCCCATTAACAGAACGCACAACGATGTCATCCAGCTCATCAGGCAGGAGAGGATGAAAGAGGTGAGTCACTTTGCAAATTGGCAAATGCACAATAAACGGCTGCTACAAGAAAGCTCCCAGCTTTTTTTCTTGGTTGTTTTAAATGGTACTGTTATAAAACTTTGCTTGAGGGGCACAAGGTCAGTTTTAACATTTCTGTGCTGACTTAACGAGATAATTGTTGTCTATCGTAACGCTAAGCCTAAATGCCCTTTTAGATTGCATTTGGCTTGATGTGGTGCGACTGCTGCTTGCCCACGTCCAAGTGAATTCGGATTGCAAAACCGGCGTAACGCCATGGCAAGCTAGCGCTCATAGGAACTCTGCTGCACAGGCACCCAAAATTGAAAGACAAGTGCTCCCATGTGTCTTAAGCACCGTTAGAGCAATTAGCTAGTGTTATTGTCAATCGACAAAAAAGGTCACTTTTCCCGGCTTGACTATCTTCCCAATTGATTTTTTCCCATGCTTGTAGGAAATTACGCTTGTGAGCATGTGCAGCGCAGCCATTATTTGTTTGCAAATCACAAATTGCCAAGCATTGCACAGCTTTGCCTCAGTAATTGCTTGCTTTTAACTGTGACTTGTGGTAGGTTTGTCAAGTCTGAACTGAGTCGCAAAACTGTAAACTTAGGAAAGAGAACAGATGTAGTGGCATTAGTTCTTGGCTCTTGCTGAACCCTAAAATGCCCTGCCAAAACCCTGTCTTGGGACCACCTGTCAACGCTGGATACAAGGGGTGGGGTGTCATGGGGCGGGGGGGCATTTACCCTCAAAGAAAAATATAGAAAAATTTTCTATAGCACTCTCAGCTCCTGACAAATTGGTTGTCATCTGGCCTATTAGTGGGTGGCTGTATATCTTCTCCAAGTGAGTGGCATGGGAACTCATACCTACCAATCGCACCTGGATAGCATATATAAAGGTAAAAAATTCGTGTGTGCGGGGTGTTGCTAATACCAATGCTTCGACAAATGGACTTGTCCTCAAGCTTGTCTTGAAGGTTTAGACTGGTGCCACTGATCATTCTTGGTTTAATCAGGGGCACCAGTTTACTCTGTACCAGCTACTTTTAGGAGACTTTTTCTGAATATTTTGAAAACTGGAAGTAAGATCTCAACCCAAAGTTGTTGACAGTGAAGGAGAATATGCCACTCAGTGCTCCCGCCTCTATCAATTATTGAGTACGATGGAGTGTCATCCATAGTGAGCTGGGGCATATGTTGAGGGCACTGTCTACGCAGGCAATTTCAAGCAGTACGGTATGCTCTATTTGGCAACGGGTTTTCATCGTCTTCCTTCTTTGATTGTTAGACTGCTCTTTTATGGTTCGGATTTTTTTTCCTTTCGGACCGACCTTGTCTCACCTTTTATTCGCAGGAACGGTATGCGCCCTGCTTGCCTCGTCACTAGTGCTTCACTTCAGCGCACACTTTATGCTGTGCACTCAAGCCAAAATGTGGCAGTCTTTCGGGCTGAGAACTTTATTCACGGATTCTCTCTGCATTTTGGCATTGTCTTCCTGTTTATATTAAAGCACCATTTCTAATATGCACACTAATAAGAATATTCACTGAAAATATTGCATGTGCTGCTCCAAGTGATTCTGAGCACTACATTCACTGCTCCAAACCTACTCTAAAACAGACTTTCTCCGGCTCCAAAAATTGCTCTGATTTATAAACTGTCTGGGTCATCACTGGAAAAGAATAAAAGCAAGTGGTAAAGAGGAGCACTTCAGTAACAGTGACAACAAAAAATTATGTGCACGTCATATCTTGCTGTGACCTGGGCCTGTTGTGATGTGTCAGCAGCTCTGTCTGCTGTCTTTGCATACACCAACTGTTTTAACTCCTTTCTGTCTCTCCTGTCAGTATAGATAAGGACAGCACATTTGCTATGCCTGAATTTCTTACAATAAAATTGCAACTATAAATCATGGCAAGCCACATGAATGTTGTGTCACCGAATGCACCGAATCTTGTAAATACATCCATTAGCTCCATCTAGGCCTGAGGTATTAGCTTTTCTTCCAGGTCTTGTATATTCATGTGCTGTTCTGCTTCCTGACTGTCTAGAGCATTGATCTCGCCATCCATCTTGTTACACCGCAGTGCTCAATTTCAGCACGTGTCCTAGCCACAGCTTTTGGTCTCATTGCCACTGGCACGGCAGCTGTTGAAAAGGACGAAAATAATTTCAGAGCCTTCTTCGTCATAAGATATTGTCTTGTGACGTAGTGATGTTCCTCAAACTTAGAAAAACATTTAGTAGCCTTGTGTGAATATTTATTGTTACATTCAAAGTGAATTCAAAGTGAATAGTGATTTAGACAAATAATGTCAAATCGAACTCGAATAGCATGTACCACATAATATAAAGAAAAATGAGCGTATTTGTCAACTGACCTATTCAGCGTCTTTTCAAAATAGAAACAGGTCATGTGCAAATGTAATTCTTTTTGATTCAAAGGTTGTGGAAGCAACTTTGAATAGTAGCAGAATTTGAGCTTTGCTAGGATGCTAGTAATTACCTGTAAAATATGTCAACATTTTCAATTTACTACACCTAGAGCATATAAGCCGGTATAACAAGCTTTTAAACTTTAGAAAGTTATGAATCAATGTGAAGTTTTTATTAAACCTTGAGGTCAAGCTTTGTGGCAGTAAGGATTACCCCTGTAAAAGTATATTCATGGTATAGGAACCCTCCGCTGCACTGAAACCACTCTTACAGGGTGTTGCATGAGGACAAATTTGAACTGAAGTGAATTTAAATGCTGTAATATTCATTTGAATATTCTAACTCGGTGTTTCTCAGCCATTGATGTGTTCGAGACCCCTTGTGGACTGGTGGAAAGTGATGGTACCCTTTGCAGCTTTGCAGTAGAGGGGAGGGAGGGGGGTACGTAGGTAAATTAGCACAACTGGAACGTGAAACAGGTGCCTTTTATTGCTACCAAAAACATCAAACAAACGAGCCACATTACTTCATTTTGGACAGTTAATCAATACGTGGCACTGTCAAACCTAAAATAAAATGTGGGTGGGGGTTTCGAAGATGATAGAAATGGCTTCGCGAACCCTAATTTGAAAACCACTGTTCAAACATATTGAATATGTGCACCAACCTAACATTTAAATATGCGTGCCTGTTATGCAATTAGGCTTAGCAAGGGACTGCTTCAGTTTTCTTTAAAGTACTCTTGACATGATTATTTTATAGCATACTGCTCCAATTTTGAAACAGTATTGATGGTTTCATGCTAGAATTACTTCGTTAAAATTTAAAAAAGGAGAAATTTACCCTAAATCTAAAACTTTAGCCAATTTGCATGCAAAGGAAAGAAGAACAGTTCTGAAAATTTTCTACTGAAATAAAAACAAATTTAAGCTCAATGTATCACTGGTACGAATTGTCGTGTATGTATGAAATATTTTTTCTTGGTTTCCTAAATGGTTCCAATCTACAGCAGCAGGAAATACCATCGCTCATGGCAACGTGAAGCGGTAGAGGAAGCTTCTACTGAAGGAACAGATTTGTCCCATCATCTCCCAAGGCATCAGAGCTGTAATATGTGCACTCATTTAATTTCCATATTCTCGCATAAATGAAGTTTGACTTTCAGTGTCATAGCTACAGCCAACAACTGGGATACATCGTAAATTGTAAAATGCTCTAAATTCTGGTGTTATGAATACTGCCACTTTACTAGAGGAATTCTCTACTAAAGCTTTTGTAGAGGAATTCTCAGTTTTTCAACAGTGTAAGGCTAAACATATGGAGGAGACATAGCTTTAGCACTATCGATATCTGTGTCAGCGACTGCTGCCTATATTCAATAACTGTAAGATTCTAAGCGAGTATTCTTTCCAATTTTTCAGCTAATTTCAAATTTTATTGCCGTTCTTGGTAAGTGACCACGTCCCTTCTCTTTACTGGCAATCTTAAGTTGTTAAATTGGGAGAAGGGGCTTGCATGTAACTGTGTAGAACTGTTGATGAAGGATGCATCTGTGCACCAAGTGAGAATCAAACTGGCGCGTGCAGGCCAAGAGTGTGGTGCGGTCGCAGCACTGGTCCATCGACCATCCAAGCCGAGGCGAGCTATGGCTGAGGCTGTGCCAGCACCACTCGAAGGGCCAGCTAGCAGAGGGCTACTACCAGCGCACAGTGAAGGAGTCCTTGGGGAGACTGTGGCCCATGAACCTGCCCGCATTTGCCGACCCAATCTTCTGCGAGGACTACTTGCTGTCTCCCGAGGGCCAGAAGCACGCCGAGCGGGTCCTGTACATCGTGTCCATCAGCCACCCGTACATCACTTACTGCCCACTCCTTTACCCCGTCACGTCACTGCTCCTCCACTATTTGTCTGACGAACAGGTGCGTTAACAAGAACAAGCGGCACTGCAAACCAGATTATAAGACACTTGTCCATACACCACCCACGTACATTTTTGGATCCGAAGCAGCTTAGGGCTAAGCTCAATCCACTGTGCGGCGTGACCACCCTGACTGCACATGCGCAATACTTCTTTGCAGACTAGTTGGTTTATACTTGAAAACTCAACTTGCTGCACAAGCAGAAAGAAAACGAGAAGGGAGACGGTGCTCTTTCCTGTCTTTCTTCTCGTTCTCCTTCAACTTGTGCAGCAAGTAGAGTTTGCACAAGTGCGTCTGCTCTCTCTCTCTCTCTCCTCCCCTATTACCCTTCTCTCGCCTCGCAACGCCAACGCAGGCAGCGCCTGCTAACCTACACTCTCTCCTCTTAGCACTGCGCCGTGCTCCCGACCGGGCTGCAAAAATTAGGTGCCTTTCTCATCTTCTAACCACTACCACCACCACTCTCTCCTCCCTCTTTCTCTTTTAGGCAGCCCTCCCCGCGTAGTTTGCACCGCCATGCCCCACCAAGGTGGTCTAGTGGCTAAGGTACTCGGCTGCTGACCTGCAGGTCGCGGGATCGAATCCCGGCTGTGGTGGGTGCATTTCCGATGGAGGTGGAAACGTTGTAGGCCCATGTATTCAAATTTATGTACACGTTAAAGAACCCCAGGTGGTCGAAATTTCCCGAGCCCTCCACTACGGCGTCTCTCATAATCATATGGTGGTTTTGGGACGTTAAACCCCACAAATCAATCAATCATCAATCGTTTTCACCGCCATTGCCCTTGCGCGTCTCCTCCCTCTCTCTACTCTCTCCCCTTGCAACGCCGACACAGGGAGTGTCTGCTAACCTTTGCTCCCTCCTCTCTTTCAGTCCTCTCTGCAGCATTTACACCCCCATTGCACATGCGCTTCCCCTTCCTCTCTCTCCTTTCATTCGCTCTCCCCCTCTATCACCTTGCAATGCTGACGCAAGCAGCACCTGCTAACCTACACTCTTTCCCCCCTTTTTATCCTCTAGGCAGTCCTCCCCGCAGTGTTCGCACCCCCATTGCACATGTGCGTCCCCTCCCACTCTCTCCTCTCATTTGCTCACCCCCCTCTCTTGATTTGCAACGCTGACGCAGACAGTGTCTGCTAATCTTTGCTCGCTTCTCTCTCTCCTCTGGGCATTCGCTGACGCAGACAGTGTCTGCTAATCTTTGCTCGCTTCTCTCTCTCCTCTGGGCAGTTCTCCCCACGGTGTTTACACCCCCATTGCACATGCGCATCTCCTCTCTCTCTTTGCAATGCTGATGCAGGCAGCGTCTGCTAGCAAGTTTCCTGATTGAAAAAACCGAGTGCTTGCACTGCACAACCATTCACTGGCCACCGCTTATATATAAGCACTGGAGTTTAACCTGTGCTAGTGAGAGATTTTTCCTGTGTGTTGTTGAGCAATAAAAATTTTGCAGCGTAGTGTTGACTAAAAACGGATTGTGGGTGTGCGTACAATCAGTCTTGCCTCTCATTGCCAATTAGCAGCCTTTGGCATGTTCCGGTAAAAAACACTGGTCCATCACTGCGTGCTTTGCGCATAAGCAGGTTTCTTTCCTGCGCAACACCACGACGACTGCCATCGTCAACGTCACCGCCAGCGTAAGCGTTCGCGCCTGCTGCTTCGCTCTACACATTGTTTCTTTTTGTAAGAGATGGTGTCATTTTTTTTTATTTTCTTTCATTTCTAATACAGCAGACTCTCAAGTAAAGATATCAGCTACATGAAACTGCTCTTTAATAGAACAACTGCCTCCGGAACAATTAGTTTCGTTCTTGGATTCTTCACCTATGTTCATTTCTCAGTAAAAGGAAGAGTTTTTCCTACTCTCTTCAGGTTCTGTTTAACAAGAGTCTACTGTATTTGCTTCTGCGGTATTTATTTTCACCGTGTGACAGCACGCAGGTAAAATGACAAGAGGTCTGCTTAATGTCATTCATTGTAAATGACATTATATTTGCTATGTGTGCAGCTCTATGCTCCTTTGCACTAGTTTGAAAGCTACATTTCTGTGAATAGTGGCCTCTACGTAATGAAGGCAGAATGCAGAAACAGTTGTTTGCTTGGATTTAGGTGCTGGTAAAAAAAAAATTCCATAACGCTAGCATTATGCTCGTTTGTAAGTATTTGAGTATACGAAAGTTAACTTTATCTGGGAGCTTTTGTGAGAACCCAGGTGGTCGAAATTTCCAGAGTCCTCCGCTATGGCGTCGCTCATAATCATCTGGTGGTATTGAGATGGTAAACCCCATATATCAATCAAATCAATTGGAGTTTTTGCATCAGTTGATGTTGTTCAATTCAAATGCATATCATATTTACAGTTGAGCCCACATATAACGACCCCACCTAAAACGAACTTTCGCTTAAAACGAACAATATTCGCGTGACCGTGACAATATACATTGGTTCAATGGCACAAAATCGCACTTACAACGAACGTCTCCGAGCGCCGCTGATTGGTTGCAGCAAACAGAGTTCCGAACCACCGATCAGGCATCGGCAAGGTGCCCATACATTCTTATTGTTAAACGCTGACCCTGCCTCCGCGACCCTCTAGTTGCTGCTCTCCCCAACTCATGAAGAAAGGAAAGTTGTTTCCTTCCTCCATGCCCTGACTGCTTTTTGTTATGCACCCCTCCGTCCTTTGTCCCCCTGCTACTCTGAGCGCCTTGCATCACCAGACGAGGCCCGCGTTTTCACACTGCCGCCGATCTTTCGAAGACCGGTCGGCCATCTACCCTGTTTTTAATTGCTCGTATTGTCGTTGGCATCGCCGGCCTGGAGTGACCAGACCATTTGCCAACATCGTCGGCCATCAACTGTATCCGATAGTCTGCGTCTACTGCACGCGCGTACGCTACCCCACCGACTCTGACAATTTGTGATTCGTTTCATGTTTAGGACTTGTTCTCGCTCACTTCGCACTCGACTCGACATGCCTTCCACGCGCGTGCGGAAGCACGAAAACGGCTGTTAATTTGTGCGGGATGAATCGCAAAATATCGAAGTTTTTTAGGCCACGCAAACCCGTCGGCGCAACAAAAAGATTTTTTGATCACGGCCGCCGATTCTTCAAACACCGCGCGCACGGATCAAAGCGGCCATGCTTTGACTTCTGCACGCGCAAGCACTCTTTCCAAGGTTTTCTACGTGCAAGTTTCTCAGACCTTTCAAGCAAGCTACCAACTTGCCTCCTTCCCGTGTGTTTTGGTTTTCAAGGTCGTTCTCCCACCACATCCTCTCCTCTCTTGTCGCAACTCATTGCCCTTCTCTCGCAAGTCTGCTCTCCTCTCTTAATCACAGCCCCTTTGCCCGTCTCCTCTGCTCCGCGACGCCTGCCACGCTGGCTTGAATTACTTTCGTTTTCTGACTGGAAAAGGGCCCAGAGCTGTTCCACGCGTTCTGGCATGTGTGTCGCGTGTGTGCGTTTTGCTCACTCTAGGTGTGCGTGTGTGGTCATGATGGCCGACGGGAGGACTAGCACGCTTTTTCCTGCTGTTCAACAAAACGTTGAAAGTGTGACCACTTGGTTTGAGCGTAATCCGCGCGTTGGGTGCTGCCTTGCGGAGCGCTTGCTCATAGCTGTTGAACACCTGGCAGCCAACTTGCCACTTCGGGCGTCCCGGTATTCAGCTGTGGAGATGGTGAATATTTGATGGGCGGCGGTGACGACTACATGCACGCGAAACTGTTTTCCCGAGGCTTATTTCCGCGACATTGGGTCCGATGCCGAGCCTGAAGCTTCCGAACTGCGGCGGCAATTGGTGGCAGCGCGCCGTCGACTCCGACCTGAGAGAGCGGGTGGGACATCTGTTGCCGTGGTTTAATTACGGCCGACGATGAGGCCGACACTCCGACACTGCGAAACCGTGCAAGGATTGGGGCATTGTGAATGAAGTACGTGGCGAGAGCGATTTGGAGGAATCTGATTGCGAGAACGACGAAACTTTGGAGCCAGTGCCTCATGCAGTTTATGCCAAGGGCCTCGCGAACGAGCACCCTGCCGTTTTAAATGAGCTCAAAACTGACTGCCCTTATCGCTTCTGCTTTTCAAAACACGTGCATCATGGACTTTTTGGGGCAAAGAAAGTTTGTGTTTTCACTCGCAACTTTTTTTAAAAGCTGTATTTCATTTACTACGAACTTCGGAATACAGCAAACGAATTCCGCGTCACGCTCAAGTTCGTTATAAGCGAGCTCGACTGTATTGCAATATTGATGCATGTCTAAACCTTAATTAAATTAAATCGTTGGTTGTTAGTCTACTTCAATCACTTAATTTCTGTAATGTTGAAACAGAGATGTGAAGTACTATTTCCAATGAATTTCCACAGCCATCAGGCACATGAGGAGAGCCAGAACAAAGCGTGGGGCTGCTCCAATTTGCCACCATAATGAGTGTAGATGAAGCTTATATGTTTTTTGTCCCACCACCAGCTGCCAATATAATCCCGAACATCACCCAGGATGTTACTACACCATAAGGTCTAATGAGACCACAGTTCTTCGAAGACTATAAAATCTCGCAGATGCACTGTGGGAACATATCACAATGCTGCAAACGATAGCCTCATTATTCTAAATTGTGTGTAAATACAATAACTTTGTTCGTGTCCGACACATTTGCTGTTTTGTAACGTGAAACATTTGTTGCTTTAGCAACTCTCCTAATGACACTGATGACTGCAGTGATCGCGGCGCTGACGCTTGTTTTCTGTTGTCACTCCCAAGTGATGCATTGGTTTGCTATCCTTTGCAAGTTTGTCTGAGGGCATGTTCGGCTTTCAGTAGACGCTTTGTAGCTGGTATGATCAAAGAACTCTTGCACTCCTTGTTAAGGTTGCTTGGCCCCATTCTTCGCAGTGCAGTGACATGCTTCTAGAATGCCAGCAATGTGAGAGGCAGGCTTTAAACTAGAAAGTGGAACGCATAGATTTAATTTGCAGCTACTAGCTTCACTTGTACAGTCTGAGCTGATGAAGTAGGCCATTTACTTTGCACAGGCTTACGAGTGTGTGTGTTCTCTTATCGAGAGCACGACGGTGCGGCATCTGAGCCAGACTCGACTGATGCACGACACCTCAGCATACACACTCATGCAACTGACAAGGCGACTGGCAGTGAGTGACTTTGGGCTCATCATCATAACCTAGTCACCTGTTCGCACGTTATTTTCAGAAAAATGATCCTTTTTTTTCTTTTCTTTTGTGAGCAGAAAAAGACCTATTCAAGGCTGCTCCGCAAAGTTCGACACGAAGAAGACCTGGAGAAGATCTTCCACACATGGGAGCTTTGGATATTTCGTGGGCTGCCCTTCTACCACCTGGTATGACAGTTTTTTTTGCTAATTTCTCGACGTGCATGCACTAAAAGAAGGCAGTGTTCTCTGTGATATTTACTTAATGAGCTTATGTTAATTTGGCATCATTTGGCAGAAAACTGTGCCGCCAATTACTGTGCACCAGTAAAAAACACCATCTACAAATGGGACACATGCCAGTTACAGGATGCGACAATACCAAGAGACCACCAACTCCATAACCCTTTCCAAAGCTGTTGAGTACTAGAGCCTGCTTGCCCTCTCCTAACACCATGAATTGTGCTGCAATTTGCTATGATAATGGCTGCTTGTCTGGGCACCTTTTGAAGGCGGAGTAGCACCCGCATGATGGCAGGGGTTTAAAATCTTCATTCATCACAAGAGGTATTTTTTTAGGGGCGAAGCTCCTTAGGGCGTGGGCTGTGCGTCCCCTGTAGCCTGTATGTAGCCACCTCTAGTTTAGTTCTTGCAGTGTTCACTAGATGGCGGTACCGTCCCCTGTATGTAGCCACCTCTAGTTTAGTTCTTGCAGTGTTCACTAGATGGCGGTACCGTCTCCTGTATGTAGCCACCTCTCGTTTAGTTCTTGTAGTGTTTACTAGATGGTGGTACTTGTAGCTGATGATGAAAAGATGCAAGATGTTATAAACTAGAAAGCGGTACTTGTAGTTGATGAAAGACGCGAGATCTTATAAAATAGGAATGATGTCGCATATGGCGCGTGTCATTGGTTGGAGGCAATCGTTCGATTTAGTGCGGCGACGTACGCTAGGGGGAGCGATGTAATAAAATCGAGTGGGCAAAATGTACAGAGGATTCATGGTTTACCAGGTTTACCTCCGGAGCTTCGCCCACTCATCATCATTCACTTCGTGGATATGGCGGAATTTTTTTTCCTAAGTACAGGAGCATGTTGTTGAACACAAGGGGGGGGGGGGGGGGGGTGGACCAAAAGAATTTATTCTATTTAGCAGGAGTTCCAAAGTCTGAGATGAACAGGGGGCAGAATTCAAGTACAAAACTATAATAATGGGAATTGTTCAGATTAAGCAACAAACCTTATCATTGTGAATCTACTGTATAATTTGTAAATCAATCAGATGCATTACTCTGAAGCATCTGATATTGTGTCTCTATGGATTATGGCAGAGTGCAAGGGCTCTGCCAATAGACCCTTTCGAAAATTCAGTCTGGCAAGATAGCTCTTCTGCCATATCTTGTTCACTCGTGCGAGCTGGAGAGCTGTGTGTCCCAGCGACGCCAATGAGGGTTACCTGCAGCGCACGCGAACACCGCTTGCGTTACTGCAGAACGTGTACCACGTTTGTACGGTACGCCAACGAGCGTCCCTTGGAGGCCATGTCCTTTCTCTGCTGGTCAAAACAGCCCGTTCACCTCCCGAAGAGGTCATGCAAGGGCCGCAGTGGCACCGCTCCCTGAAGTAGCCGCTGTGCATCCTCTCAGACGTCCCATCGACTGCCAACTACAACCCACATACGCAGCGATAATCGCGTACTGGTATCAGCAGCGTGCATCACCATGGGTGAACAAGACATCGCGGAAAAAATGTGTTTTTGGTTTCGTTCAGTAGGTGGTGTGAATTTTCAAAAAGGGTCTATTGCACCAATTTGATACAATTTCTAGTTTTTGCGCAAAGCTGAGCTAAAACCATGACATTTGTTGAAATTGCAGCACACTGCCCCAGAATACTCGACCAGGCTCAGTATTTTTTCTGTACTGTTAATTTTATCTGTTGGGTTCTGTTTTAACTGCCTTGCTGTGAAAAGGCTGGGGTTTATGTTATCTCAGATACTTCATTTTTATAAGCTTGCAGCGAAGAAAGAAAAAGTCACAGCTTTGCGCCAAAGGTGAAGTAATGAACGTGATAGCAACAAATTGGAAGGCCACGTGCATCATTAAAAGCAGATCAAAACGTACCCCGCATTTCTCGTGCACAAACGACGCACAAAACGTACTCACAGCTATACATGCACACGAATAAGCGTCTCATTTGTTACTTCGCTGTGCCTAAAAGCACGCACTTTTCGCAAACGGAGACTGCCACGATTGCAGTGACCTTTTTGCACCCGGTAACTACAACAGAAAAGCCCGAGGCCAGCCAAGACGTACGATCTTCCCCTCCTCCCCACTGTGAGATAAGGGCGCGCAAGGGACCGTCGCTTCCTTCCTCTAAGCGAGGCAAAGTACGCATGGGAGTATAGAGCGCGCGCTGCCGCGCAATGTGGCGACACATACTCATTGCACCATCTTGCTGGTAAGGCTGAAAAAACGATAATTCCCCCTGCCCCCCTCCCTCCGAGATGCCATAAGTAGTGATAAGTAGTAGATATAAATACCTTGCCGTTTGAATAGTAAAGGACGTGTTTTCGCTGGCTCAGTGGATAATGCCTCGCACTCGGGATTGGGAGGACCCAAGTTGTTCGATTCCACAACTAGAGTATTTTTCTGTTCTTTTTCTGTATTTTTATATGTATAGATAGGTATACATATACGGTGAGTGACGCTGACGTCAACGCCGGCGGCAAAATCTAGCTGAGGCTGTTTATATGATTGCTACCGCAATAAAAGAAAGTAACCCAAAATGAACAATGAGCAGCTAAAAAACTCTTATGGCACACTGAACTACCGTAATTACTCGAATCTAACGCGCACCTTTTTTCCGGTTAAGCGAGTTCATAAATCGCATGCGCGTTAGAATCGAGTACGAACAAAAAAATTACGGTCAATCTATTGCCATCGCAAATCCAAAATGGCCGCCCCCTACGTGCGTTGGCATGGTGCGTCGGCTATTTCTGCCTATGTGTTTACCATGTGCGGCACTTCGTACGTGTGCTGAGAAGTCCTTCTTGTCTCTGTGTCGTCGTTTTGTTCTCGCGCTATAACTATCGTAATGCCTTACCAACTAGCCCAAGCTGCCACACTTCTGAGAAGTTCGTCATCTAGTAGTGCATTAGCATCGACGACTTGGAAGGGCCGACTCCAAAAACTCGAGTGCACCACGATGCCGCTTTTAAAAGAAAAGTCATCGCGTGTGCAGAAACGGACGAAAATCGGGCCGCATCGTGGTCCTTCTCGAAACGTGCGTGCGGGACCGGCGGAAACAAAAGCAGAAGATTGTCGACAGCAAAGCTTCACGCAAAGGCTTCAGTGAACCACAGCAGGGTCGGTTTACGCAAATTGAAGAGCTGCTCCGCGAGTATGTGCTTGAGGAGCGAGTGGCACAGCGGCCCATGACGACAGAACTGCTCCAAGTGCGGGCTATGCAATTAGTCTTAGAAAAAAGTCTAATGCGGAGCCTGTTTAAAGCGAGCAGGTGCTGGCTAATTAACTATATGAAGAGGAAAGGCTCTTCCCTCCGAAGGGGAACATGCATATGCGAAAACTTTTGCGGAGAAGTACGATGAAAAGCTTTACAGTTTTCAGAGGTTCGTCCTAAACTTGCGGCGCAACAACGGCTACCTGCTTGGGCAAATCTGGAATGCCGATCAGACGCCTCTTTACTTCGACATGCCTGGCACCACAACTGTCGAGAAGAAGGGGGCGAAGCAAGTTCGCGTGCTGACATCGGTCCACGGTAAAACTACAGTGACTGCAATGCTCTGTTACACGTCAGATGGGCACAAGCTTCGCCCGTACCTCATATTTAAATGGAAGACAATCCCGAAAGGAATCGTTTTTTCGAGTGGTGTGATCGTGCGGGCCAGCAAAAAAAAAAAATGGGTGCGCGTTGCAATCGATGTCTTACGTTTTTTTTTTTTTTTTCGCGGTGGAAATCGGGTGCGCGTTACAATCGAGGGCGCGGTAGAATCGAGTAAATACGGTAAGTTAAAATAACATGATAATGTACTGCTTGCTTGCAGAAGTTCATACTGCGATGAAGCATCTACAAGCACACATTTTCATTCGGCCCACAGTATGTGAACCCGCACATCATTTCTTATATTGACCTGTGCCTGCGTGTGAACGACAGCGATAATGTGGAGATTTAGCGGACACCAGGTAGTGGGTTTCTGGCTTGACTCGAGAACAAAGAAGACAATCTTGCAGCTCAGCTGTTGAGAACATGCTGCTTTCGCTGCCTCAAGGCCTACGTTATACTGCGACACTGGCGGAGGTGCTGGCCCGCGACCCCGCCTGATGTTCCACACTCCTACGGGGAGCCGTTTATCCAGCCCAGAAGCACTTGTCGACACTCCCATGCATTGCTTCAGTCGTCGCTTGCGAAGCCTCCCTCCAGAGTTCACCCCCTCGCAGGAACACTCTACAAGGCACCGCTCACATCTATCAAAGGCCACCGCCAGTCCACAACAGTTACTACTACGAGACAGCAGTCTGCCAACCCCATCTCAGGTAACCCTTTTTTCACCGCTGGTGCCTCATCGCTTTGGTAGTGGAGCACATGAAGACGTCGAAAACTGGCTTGACCACTATGAACGTGTCGCCAACACCAACCAGTGGTGTCTTGAACAAAGGCTTTCCAGCGCCTATTTCCATCTCGACGACAGTGCTCGTACTTGGTACGAGAACAGAGAAGACAGTTTGTCAACATGGAGTGACTTTAAAGGAGGGATGATTGACACATTTGCCAATGTCGACCGGCGCGAACGTGCGCAATATTTACTCGAGCTATGTGTTCAGAAACCCAATGAAACGGTCGCAATGTTAGCTGAGGTCATGGCCTGTCTCTTCCGTAAAGCTGACCCGCACATGACCGACGACAAAAAGTTACACTACCTCATGTGTGGCGTTAAAGAGCAATTGTTCACCGGACTTTTGCGGAACCCGCCAAGCACTGTGACAAACTTCATCAAAGAAGCTACGGCTATCGAGCGGGCGCTTCACCTACGATGTCGACAATACGATCGCTTGTCCAGCAGCACCCACATTCAAGTCGCCGCTACGACATCTGACAATCAAAGCTCGTTATGCGATTTAATACGAGAGATTGTTCGCGAAGAGCTGCTGAAGCTGCGGACTCTGGTCAC